TAATTGTAAGCTTATTAGAATCTATTTACGCAATAATATCTTATCGGTATCAATGTATCAATGTTTATTCTTATCAGTATTGTATCTAAAATCGTTATTTATACTATTTATACTATAATAATTTATACTATAATATTTTTGTGTAACGCTATAATATCTGTTCAAATCACTACTTTAGTTATTATTATCTGACAAACTCAGAATTGTCAATCATACTATCAGTAAAACTTAAATATTTGACTTTGTTAAGATACTTTACATTGCTTTCAATTTGATCATCATTAAGATACTGGTTATACCTATCTCCTGATTATATCTCTTTCTTAGTCATTATCGTTCGATCAATCTGCTAATTGCAACGGTACTACTAAACGCAACGTCTACTCACCGTTTATCGCGTTATTTCGCTAGTCGCAAATTATGAGAGATTAGTCGTACGATAATCAAATCGACTGGAGAAGACATTCTCCGTCCGCGTAATTCTTTTGCAAGAGGCAAACGGAGTCAAATCACTGCAAATTGAGCCGCCACAATATCCGTTGTTGCGACCGCACGGGGACGAGGGGAGAGGGGGTGGGGGTGGGAGGGAAGGATGCTCGAGAGTCGGTGGAAATGCGGTGATACGGCGGCGAATTATTAAGATAATTACACAGGAGAAGCGCATGATGAGAGGGGCGGCCATGAGGTACAAATGCATTTTGCTTCACGGGCGGGTCGCTTTCACCTGCGGCGACTCTGGAGGCGACGGGATAAAACCTGATTGTCCCCGCTATCAATTAGTGTCGTGCTCGTGACAGCAATCTCGCCTTTTCTAGAACTCCCCCGCGTCTTCGGGGAACTCCCTCGGGTTTTGCCGAATGAAAATTTATTTGACCATTTGCCGAGGCAATCCCGCGCGAAGGACGGCTACCACGAAGAGAGTACACGTTTTATGTACGGAAGAAAAAAAGAAGTACACTTTGTAACATATTTATAAGGATAATCCCGATTGACCGTCCGTAAGATGTTATCGTTTGTTTTGTTCATCAAGCCGGTAGGCAGACACAAGAGAAACCTTTTGCGAAATTATATTATTTTCTTAGAAAATCGCCAATCATCGCGTAGATTACAGAGGTGTTTTTCTTTTAATACGCATATTTCATAAATTTGCCTCGTGGCATTTTATGAAGATTCCGATTACGTTTCTGCCGACATTTCGCGAGATAGCTGGGATAGCTTTGTAAAATGCCGCGTTTCGCGAAAAGCGTACGACAAGCACGCGTGCTGGAAAATCACGCACAGGCCAGCCGAGAGATAATTTTTAAATTGCAATAGTGAAAGGAAAGGCGAAGGTCTAAATAAGCAAGAATATTTACATAATTACGGAATGTCCACAATAGTATTTTATAGATTTATCATAATCCTGTAAAAAGCGAAAAAAATCTCACAGTTTTTATGCTGTACAATTAAAGCTGTATATGTTGAAATTTGTCAGACAGATATCAAAATTCTTTTAAGTTAAAATAAAGATGTGCGCGTCACTTTTCCTAAGACAAAATAGATTAACAATAGATTTACAGAAATAAATTCATGAAAGTAACATTATTATCGTTCACGGAGATCTGGTCATGATTATCTATACATATATCATATATTCTCGATTAAAGTAGTTTGCTAAGTAGTTACATCAATACCAGAAACAACAGCTTGCTTATTATTCTGGACGTACATAATCACCGTTATTATACACGTATTCGCGATGTCTATCTCATTTTTTTCTCTCTTTCTTTCTTTTCGCTGATTAATCGACTTCCGACTTGTCATGAAAAAAAAAGCTTAGCTTCTTCGCTAACTCTTTTTCGATAATAGCGGATACAATAGAAGTAATATAGTGACTAGGCGTATTTTACTTTCACGGCTTCCATTGCCGGCAGATATGAATACTTTCTACGGCAAGGAGAAATTATGTTTTTCCAATCGGTACAGGCACTTGTGGCCCGCGTTTCCAGGGTTGCTCGCAGCGGCGATTATGCAAATTGATTAACGTCCACTTTCGGGAACAATGACGCGGTGTAAAGATTTCCAAGCGCTCTTATTTGCGACAATGGTTTTCAATAGGACAGGTAGCGAATTTCTCTCGCTTTCACCCTCGTTTCAACGGTTATTTGCTTATTTTACGCACCCATCGGTCGAGCGAGCCAATCAATAAGAGGCGTCAAACGATTGGAGAGAACGTTCACGTTAAACGTTGCGTGTGCAGAATTAAAATCAAGAAATTTATCCTACCAAATGTCCGATCAAATTTAGACATCTGCAAAGATTTACAGGCTGTTTCATGTAGACAAGACATGTAGAAGACATCTTGGAATAATTATTTCGTACAAAAAAATCATAACTGTTAGTCTAAATATGTGCTACAAGAAATTTGTGTGTATACAAATTTTATTAATATTGTAATAAGTTTAAATGTTTAATTTTTTGTTGTATCAAGCTCGAACATGTATTGTGATATTAATAAAGTCTGTCATTCCTCACTTGTGGTAAGAAAATAAGCCGCGCGATATATACATAATAAAGATCTATTTGCCAGGTCATTAATTACTCATGAAGACATATTTTTCATCGTTTCTATGCAGAACAGCATGAAACATGTCCGGTGGGGCCGTGCGAATGTTGAAGGCATGCAATCATCAACACCCCGTATATCCGGGCATTCAATTCGAAGATTTGCTTCGTCCTTCTACAGATTTGTCTTATTCTAAATCCCATTCGTCCTTGTTTCTCGCCATAGACATCAAAAGGATACGTTTCTTAAGATAAGATTTTTGCACAAAATTGACAAAAATATATTTCTAGCAACCAAAATAAATTCCTGCTTCAAAATTGTATGCAACAGAAAATTCTACACTGTTTTTATTGTTTAAAATATAATGTGTTGTTAAAATATCAGAACTAGAATGTGCAAGTTTCTAGTTATAATTCTTAAATTTTAAATATCACGTCCAGGACTTAATTTATCTCAAGTCTGCGATAATTTTAATTATTTTAAAAAATAACTTATTTATTCGAAAAAATTTTCCAGAATTAAATGTAATACGATATCGCTAATCCTATATTATAAATAATGCAGGCGTCTCCAATTGATTACTTAGACTTTTACTCGAGCGCTGCGAAGATGAAATCGATATTCGCGAGGAATTACGAAAATTCCACGGAGTCGAGCGTATTTTTCCCGGACAAAAACTCGGCTCTCATTCAGAAGCATTCGTCGGATGCAACATCCTGAGAACGGTGACTACGGATCGCGACAAGAATCGACGATATGTTTCCAGGCGCGGCTGATGGCCGACGCGTTTCCTAATCCCGGCGCTCAAAGAGCTTCGTTCCTTCCTGCGGGCGAGAGGATCGTGGCCGGCGCATATTTCCGTAAGAGTCGACGAACTGACTGACCCACGATTCCAATCAAGAAGTTGCATAAGAACGAGTAACACGCATATACCTCCGTTCTCCTCTCACTTCTCTCGCTCGCCTTGCGAGCTCCGGCCGAAGCGGAGCAGCTCTCTCTCTATCGTAAAGTCCATTCTAGACGACCTACAGACGATCGCCATAGAATTTGGGACAAAATTTTTCAGTTTAAAATGTATACATCAACTATATATATATATATATAT